CCACCTCAGGTGTCTCGGGCCACAATGCCTGAGCCGTCAGAAGCAAAAGAACTGGCCCTAGCACAATTCATGGAGTGACAAGGGATGTTAGTCCCCGTAGGGCCTCCAGACGGGACCGGAGGCCCTATGTAGAATTAATGATTTATTGGTCCCGAAAAAATATTCAGAGAGTTATGGCACTAGTAGACACAGGAGCAGAAACATCAATTATCTATGGAGATCCGGGAAAATTTGATGGCGACAGAGTGATGATTGGTGGTTTTGGGGGACAGACTATTCCTGTAACCCAAACATGGTTAAAATTGGGGGTTGGGCGTCTCCCACCCCGGGAGTACAAGGTGTCTATTGCCCCAGTCCAAGAATACATCCTGGGCATAGACATTCTATGGGGTCTGGCTCTCCAAACAACTGTGGGAGAGTTCAGACTTCGACAGAGATGTATCAGTATCCGGGCGGTGCAGGCAATATTAAGAGGCCATGTGAAACATGAGCCTGTTTGCCTGCCGAAACCGCGCCAGATTACTAATGTAAGACAGTATAGACTCCCGGGTGGGCAAGATGAAATATCGAGAACAGTGCAGGAATTAGAAAAAGTGGGCATTATAAGACCTGCACACAGCCCGTATAACTCCCCCATATGGCCAGTGCGAAAGTCGGATGGCACATGGAGGATGACAGTAGACACAGAGAATTAAATAAGGTCACGCCGCCTATTCATGCGGCCGTACCCAATATTGCCTCCCTAATGGACACATTGAGTAGGGAGATAAAAACCTATCATTGTGTCCTAGATCTAGCAAATGCATTCTTCAGTATCCCAATTGCTGAGGAATCGCAAGATCAGTTTGCGTTTACGTGGGGAGGCAGGCAGTGGACCTTTCAGGTCCTGCCACAGGGGTACGTGCATTCACCAACGTATTGTCACAATCTAGTGGCGCGTGACCTGGCTGACTGGAGAAAACCTGATGATGTTAACTTATATCATTACATTGATGATCTCCTGTTGACATCCGACTCACTGGAGGCAGTAGGACAGGCAGCAGATTCATTAACTGCCTATTTACAACAAAGGGGATGGGCTATAAATCCCCAAAAGGTGCAAGGTCCAGGCCTGTCTGTAAAATTCCTGGGGGTGGTTTGGTCAGGAAAGACCAAAGTGCTACCCAGTGCTGTTATAGATAAGGTTCAGGCGTTCCCAGTCCCTACAACATCAAAGCAGCTGCAAGAGTTTCTAGGTATATTGGGTTATTGGCGTTCCTTTATACCTCACCTAGAGCAGCTGCTAAGGCCACTATACAGACTCACAAAAAAGGGGCAGCTATGGGACTGGGGGAAAACCGAACAGGATGCTTTCCAACAAGCAAAACTGGCAGTTAAACAAGCTCAGGCATTGGGTATATTCGATCCTACCCTCCCAGCCGAGTTGGACGTTCATGTTACTCAAGACGGCTTCGGTTGGGGCCTGTGGCAACGCCAGAGTTCTGTTTGGACCCCCATTGGTTTCTGGTCTCAGGTTTGGCACGGAGCAGAAGAAAGATACAGTATGATTGAAAAAGTTATTGGCTGCCTATTCGGCATTACAGGCAGTAGAGCCAATAACTCAAACAGCTGAAGTTATAGTCAAGACCACTCTGCCAATTCAGGGGTGGGTGAAAGATCTGACCCACCTTCCTAAGACAGGGGTGGCCCAAGCACAAACAGTGGCACGATGGGTCGCCTATCTCAGCCAAAGAAGCAGTCTGTCTTCATTCCCCTTGAAAGAAGAACTCCAGAAGATCCTAGGCCCAGTTACGTATCACAGCGATGCACCAAAAGAAATACTGGTCACTCCACCAGAGAAGAGTCCCGTTCAGGAGGGAAAATATCCTATCCCTGAAGATGCCTGGTACACAGATGGGTCCAGCAAGGGCAACCCGAGCAAGTGGAGAGCAATAGCATACCATCCTTCCATCGAGACAATCTGGTTCGATGAGGGGGGTGGTCAGAGCAGCCAATGGGCAGAACTGCGAGCCGTGTGGATGGTTATAACCAAGGAACCCGGTGATGGTATCCTGAACATCTGCACAGATAGTTGGGCTGTGTACCGGGGGCTCACCCTTTGGATTGCACAGTGGGCCACCCAGGAATGGACTATCCACGCCCGACCGATCTGGGGCAAAGACATGTGGTTAGATATATGGAATATGGTCAAACACAGGACTGTACGTGTCTACCATGTTTCTGGTCATCAGCCACTACAGTCACCGGGAAACGATGAAGCCGACACACTGGCCCGAGTTCGATGGATTGAGAATTCACCATCTGAGAACATCGCCCGCTGGTTACATCAGAAGCTACGGCATGCTGGACAAAAGACAATGTGGGCAGCTGCTAAAGCATGGGGACTGCCCATACAACTATCTGATATCGTCCAGGCATGCCAGGATTGCGACGCTTGCTCCAAGATGAGACCGAGATCGTTGCCCGAAACAACAGCCCATCTTGCTAGGGGACACAGTCCTCTCCAGCGATGGCAGGTCGATTACATCAGGCCCCTTCCTCGTTCCAAAGGGGCAAGATATGCCCTGACCTGTGTCGACACTGCAAGTGGGCTGCTGCAGGCCTATCCAGTACCGAAAGCAAACCAGGCATATACCATCAAGGCACTCATTAAACTGATGTCTGCCTACGGGACACCTCAAGTCATCGAGAGCGACCAAGGGACTCATTTTATTGGTGCATCAATACAGCGCTGGGCAGAAGAAAATAACATCGAATGGCGATTCCACCTGCCATATAATCCAACGGGGGCAGGCCTCATCGAACGTTATAATGGTATTCTTAAGGCTGCCCTGAAGACAGACTCCCAGTCCTTGCAGGGGTGGACAAAAAGACTGTATGAAACCCTGCGGGACCTGAATGAAAGACCTTGAGATGGCAGACCCAGTGCCCTGAGAATGTTGCAGACGACATGGGCCACCCCGCTTAGGATCCAAATTACAGGCACTGATCATCAGGTAAGACCCCAGATTGGTAATGAAAATAATCTTCTGCTCCCTGCCCCTGAGAATTTAGAGCCAGGTACCCATAAAATAAAATGGCCCTGGAAGGTGCAGGTAGGACCCAAGTGGTGTGGCCTACTTGCACCTTGGGGGAGACTATTGGAGGTGGGAGGCTCAGTAGTCCCTCCAGTAATAGGTACATGGCCTACTGATAGTGTGGTCAACACTCCGATCTTTATTGCTAAAGGGACCCCCATCCTGTCCCTATGGCAGATCAGGACACCTCCTTTGGTGCCTGATATTGTTAAGCAGCCGCAGATATCCGGCCAAAAGGTGTGGTACAGGCAGCCAGGACGTGCCCCAGTACAAGCGGAAGTGTTGACCCAAGACAGAAATACGGCCTGTATCTTGCCCTGGAGAGCAGACCTTCCCCTCCTGGTACCTGTAAAACATCTGTATTACTCCCCGTGAGTCTGTGAGCCTTCAGGACCACCGGAAGGAACAAAATGCCATCAAGCGTTCCAGTGTTGCTGTCAGATCACGTACAACACCCGGTGATGGCCTGCATGGGACTGATGGAACATAGAATGGACTTGCACATCAGGACCTCATGCCTCCAGTCACATCATCGAGCACTGGCCCATAGAAGAATATAGACATCCACTAATCATCACTTGTCTTGAACTGTACCAACATACGTCGCGATAAAATTGTATAAGTGTCGCGATATACCGGATCTCTGTATTAGGGAAAGCTTACCCTTTTGTTAACCTGATCATTGGTTCACGCCGTGAAGGGGTGGAGTGTATGGGAACTGCTGAGTCACAGCCTGAACCTCTGATTAATCACCTGAGGTGAGCCTTGAGTCAGCCAGAGGAGCACAGGTGAAGGCAATTCACCTGTGCTGCTGGAAGGGGTGGAGCCAGACTCCACCCCTCCTGGACCTATTTAAGAGCTGGCTACCAGAGGGGAAGGATCTCTTCTGGAGATCCCCTCTTTTGGTATCTTCTGGTGAGCTCAACCCAAGGGTAAGCTCTTCCACTTATTCTCTTTTGTGATCGTTGTCTGCTTTGCCTTACTCTCTTGATTATATTGCAATTATAACATCTTGATATCTATTGATTATACACAATTATATTGTGACTATAACATCTTGGTTATACACTGTTCCATAAATGTAAACAATTCTTGAGACGTGAAGATGAATTTATGCATTTTTTTCTACATAAAATACTGAAGTAATCAGAAAAAAAAAAAAAAAATCAGAAAAACAACTAAGAGCTCAGTGAATGCAGTTAGTCACACTGCACGTCCTCCTAGCCCTGAAAAACAGAATCTGTTGCATAGCTGTCCAGCTCTTTTCCTTTTCTAATAGCCATAAACATAGGTTATGAAGTTCACTTTGTGATCTCTCAAATACTACTCCACAAGAACTGCACGTGGTCCTATGTTACTAAAACAGGCTGAACTCAAATCTGTGAAGTCTAAAGAACTGGAAAATTGGTTTTAGTATATATATATATAGGTATATAATATATTTATATATACACACATTTATTATAGACAGAAAATATATATATATAGAAATATATGTAGATGTATATATGTGTATCTACCTACATTAAGGAACAATACCTGAGCAACAGTTGGTGTTGCAATTTCCATTCAAAAGCATTGCCTTGGTGGTCAAGTATAATGTCTTATCCAAACTTTTTCAACCTATGTAAATTATCTTTTGCTCACCATACAGAAATTTGCCTGCAGCTGTCAGTGTACAACAAAGTTACTAAAATTGTTATGTTAATTCTTCACAACTTTCTCATTTGTTGACAAGCACTTCATCATATACATCAACCTAATTACACTTCCATTTCCCAGCTCTTGAGAACTTGTAACTGCTCTAGAAAATATGAAGTTGGTGCATACAGAACCATTTTTCAGTGAGAAGGTGTGCACAGAGTATTTCATAGCTGTACACAGTTTAAAAAACAAGTCCACAATTTTTAAATTGTTACTTACACAGGGATGTTTTCAAAAGCATCTTCAAAATTTTCCTGGAAAAGAAAGAAAGTGTTTCAATTAATAGTCTGTGTGTGCTCAGGTACTCTTTATGTAACAGTAGAAATTTACTTTTACCAGGCAGCATTTATTCTTCAATACAGAGTAATTACTGGATTATTCATAGTCATGCTTTCAGTGCAAATCATCACCCAAACACATTTTCCAAAGGCTCACTACATTAGAGTATAGTTTAATGGTAAGTATAGAACAGATTTTTCTCCTCTCCAGCCTCTTCAACTTTCACTGATTACTGAGGGGAATACAGTCTTACACCTCATTGAAAGTGGTATGCAAAGGAATAAAATGATACAAAACTTATACAACATTCCTAGTATATTTTACTACAAATAATACAAGCACTATAATGCCTGCAACAAACTTTCAAAAAAAGAAATGTTTGCAGAACAACAATAATACTGAAAGAAAGCAATTTAAGTTTCTTAAGTACCACCCTTGTGTAAGTAGCTGAATTTACACCAATTACAGCTTACTTTAAAGTTATCCACTTACTAAAGACAACGCACACACCTGCAATATTATTAAGAGTTCACTCCTGGTGAGATGAAAGATTAAGAGTTTGTGATATTTACCCCAAGCACGATAACATGAGATATAAGCTAACATTCAGCAGTACTTCAGAAGACAAACCTAGGCTTCATGAATTTTAAATTTCCCTGCAAACTTATCAGAATAATCAAATGGTAACAATGGATCAGATAATCTGTCTCCTCTACAGGAGATATTCATGAGCAGTGATCCACCTTCCAAAAAACATTACTTTATTTTTAACTAAGGGAAAATATCCATTCAGAGTAACTGCTGAACAGTTGGACACATTACACATCAAGTTTTGAAACACTGCAACTGCTATTATTTTTGCCTGCAGCTACCATGGCCAAGTACTATAAATGTATTTAAAGAAAAATCATTAACAGACTGCTTAAATGCTCTCTTTTGAACTAAGTTAACTGCCTATATTATGGTAGACAGGGATAAGGACTATTCTGAAAAGTACAGTAATCAAGTCAGAAGCAGATAAAATGACGTGATCTGAGAAGAGTGGAACCAAGTTTCCAAAAGCAGTATAGATGCCAACAGGAACAAATATCCCAAACAAAAACCCTGTTTCACTCGTATCCATGTCTCACTCCAGACAATGATAAAAGTCAGTCTTATAATAAAGCACTTCTCTGAAGACTGTTTGCCTCCTTGATCCATTTCCAGAGACAGGAGGAGAAATTCAGCAACATACATAAAACACAATGGCAGCTTTTTTGAGTATGCTTCCATTTTTTATATGGAAAGAAACTGATTTTTTATCTGATGTTTGAACTGTCAGATATTTGCAGAGAACAGCAGCAACCAGCAGTCCGTATCTATGTAGAAAAACACAACTCACATGGATCTCTTCTTGCCTCCACACACTCAGCAAGGACCACAACAGTCTGTCTCCTGATGAATTTTGTTTCCTGCTATTCATATTCATCAAATGCTCCTCTAAGCTGAAGTATCAGAATCTAAAGTGGTGTAAGAAAGAAGGGGACAGACTCTTTAGCAGGGCCTGTGGTGACAGGACAAGGGGAAATGGTTCAAACTAAAAGAGAGGAGATTTAGATTGGATCTAAGGAATAAGTTTCTTACAATAAGCATGGTCAGGCACTGACCTCAGGTTGCCCAGAGGTGTGGTGGATCCCTCAGCCATGGAGACATTCAAGGTCAGGGTGAGACAGGGCTCTGATCCAGCAGTAGGAGTGGAAGAACAGATTAGAAAGCCTTTAAGAATTCCTTCCAACTCAAACAAGTATATGATTCTCAAGTATAAATGAAAATACTGAATTGAAATACCCAAAATAGCTTCCCTCAGATCAAGTTCTGAGATTTGTCAAGTTCTTGCCAAAATATAAAATGTTTCAAAAGCACTCAGAAAACACTCACTTTCTTCTAAGCAGCCTGTTACAAATTTACTTATGAATTAGCCAGCTCAACAACAGAAAATACAGAGTGAAGAGTTAAATAAAACACATTTTAAACATGTAAAGTCATAAATGTGTGCATATATTACATGCATACATGTATTTAAAAAAAAAAAAAAACAAAAATCAAGTGGTTTGTAATGTTTATCTAGATCCTGGAGCACAGAAGCAGCCCGAAGACAAGAACAGGCACTCTTGCACACATGGCTAAAGCCTAGTAAAGACTGCATTTTCAGTGCCTCATCACATCCAGAAGATATAGTTGCATTGCCATAACCAGCTTCAAAGGGTGCTTATTTATGTCAGTTCATGCCAGAAGCACAATTTCCTTCAAATCTAATGCTGTGTGCAACAAAGTCAGCCATGTTTGTGACCTATATAATTCAAAAATCTCTAGCGGATTAATCGAACTTCCTTTATTTACATAGCTGTCACAGACAATGCAAACCCTTATCCACTTTCTTCTGCTGACTTGAGTGCATGCTGAAGCAAGTCCCAAGGTATATCCTTGTGCTGATATACTGACAGTGGGGTCAAAAAAAAAAAAAAAAAAAAAAAAAAAAAAAAAAAAAAAAAACAACAGATTTTTCATAAACATTTAATAGTTAATTTGGAACCAAGTGAAACAGTTTAACAGTGGTGTTCCTCAGTACATACACTGGCTAGTGCTGAATCTTAAGATTTTTATGCCATATCCAGAGAACAGGTCAGTATGAGTATTTAACACAAGAATGAAAATAAACCTGCCACTAGATGGCATGACAAAAACTGACTTTCCTGCAAATCTGTAAAAAAAAAAAAAAGTTTAAAAAATGGCAGAATACTTGATAAAATAAAGCTGTCTTAAAAAGACTTTTCCTGAATCATACCATCATTTTTTTTCTTGGACCACTGTTCTATTTAACAACTTTTTTTTTTTTTTTTTTTTTAAGCTGTAAGCCAGTTTGAAAAGTTTCAATGAATTAGAGATACTTCCATTTTCCAAACCCAAGAAAGCTCAGCTCAGACAACAATAAACATAAACAGACAAGTATATAAAGAGAAAAAAAAAAAACAGCTTGAGCATTCCTTAGCAATAATAGCAGAAACCATTCACAGTAGACCACCATTTACATATAAAGCCTCATGAAAAATAAAATCGGAGTCACTTTAAAATTACTACAGAGATTTACCTGTTACTATATTTTTAATACACTAGTAGAAAGTAGAAACAACTGCTTGTCCTGGTAATAACAGGATGCATTTCTGACACTAGGATTTCTTTCTCCTTTCTTTCATATTTACGGTGTCACGTATGATGTCTTAAGCAGCTGTGGACTGCAACTTTTTAAAGATAAGAGGAGGGGAGGTATAAGGAGGTACAGGGAAACGAAGCTGATCTGCAATACGCATACTTTGGAATAGGACTATGAAAGAGGCTTTCTAATGGTCTTCATTTGGATACTGCCACTAGTTTCTAGACGCCAGGAGTCACCACATAGACTGATTAGCAAATGGAATCAAGTATTAAAAATATTATTTGATCAGAATTTAAATATTCTTCTCTATTACACTACTTTACATACATTCATTTCCCCTCAGCCCCAGCCAGTGTTACATTAACAATTCCAAAGAAATTAGTGGCTATACATTTTAAACTACAGGCCTTTGGTGGTAGCAGCTTAATACAAGCCAACAGCTACAAATCAGCAATATGCTACCATTACAGCAAGATGCAAGCTCCTGACCACTTTTCTCAATGATACAAAAGGACAACATACTTCCTTTCTGTTGACCTGACCAAGCCGAGAACAAAAACATCAGTGAAACAGGAAATATTTTGAGACATGCAGCACAGGAACATGACTGACTCTAAAGCAACAAAATGATAGGATAATCCCACTTTAGTGGGGTTAATTTCAGTAAGATTCCTCATTTTAGGTTTTTTACCTGCTTGTTTCATCTACTCAGTGCTAAAGTCAAGACTTTTCACAGACATTTTCTTCTTTTTTTTCTTTCCATTTATCATGCTCCTTTGGAGCTCTCCTTGAGGACAACAACATCCTCAGTATTAAATGAAATACAAATACTACACTATCAACCGTCAGTTCTCTACTCACTTACTCTATATTTGTATTACAAAAATACTGAGAGTTTTCAAGTCTTAATTTTTTTTTTTTAGCTTTCTTTCAAGTAGTCTGAAATAAATTCAGCCACTACCATTGAGCTACTATAAATGCATGGAACTGGAAAGATCTGTATCATTGTAAACTTCTCAACATGAAACCCATCTCTGTTTAAAATATACATATATATGTCATTTTTGCAATTTTAAAAAGGTATTAATAAAAATTAGAGCACAGTTACGGAAGCTTGCTCACATGCCACAGTGATTAGTTTTTAAGAGGTCACCCATACATTCTTTATATTAAGAATTTGCCAACTAAACATAATGAAAAAGACTATCATTAAATTTGTTTCTTTTTTTTTTTTTTTTTTTTTTCCAATTCAATTTCTAATCAATACCCAAGAAATGAACATAATTATTCATGGGTGAAGATTTCATTAGAACTAGTGGAAAGCAAAACAGAAGAACAAGAAAACATTGCCTTTAATGACTGGGATTAAAGAGTACGTTAGTCTAGAAGGAGGAGCTGCACATGGAAACAGGCTGAGGCAGTACTACAGAAAGCAACAATGCTGAAGAAGACTCAGAGGCAATTTCGACAAGTAATTCAACATGAATTCCTATTGTTACTGTGATCCATAAGTGAATCTGCAAACAGTAGAAAAAACAACTTACGATGCAACACAGAGCATGAAAACAGTAAAGCTTAGCTTCCTTAGAGTTCAGCCTTCCTGAGGGCTGATAATTATTAAAGAATACAATAGAGATTCCTCCCAAAATAGTTCAGGAACTTGAACACGCGGCTGATTTTAACAGCTTTTTGAGAACTTGAATCATTTTGATTTTCCAAGCAGAAATAGTTACCATCTCTGGCTCATACATAAAACCACTAAAAAGCAAAACCTCTGTGATT